CATCCAACAGTGTTAATGTATGAGTTTAACCAATCCACCATATTGCGCGATTGTCAACTATTTTCTTCAGGTTTTCAATGGTAATCTAACATTCATCCATTCATGGTATCAATTGAAACTCAACAATCTAAGAAAACTCTATACTGCTGGAATTAAATTGGTCAATAACTGGCTGGCGTTTAGTGACCAAAAACAAAACAAAAAACTACGTCTGATTTTCGTCAATTGTCTTGATATTAGCAAAATCTGTGAAGGTCGAATTACAATCAAGTTATTAAAACTCAGATTAGTTATTGAATAAGCAAATCAACCACGTAAAATTTACTGATCAGTAATTCAGATATTCTTTAGATTTATATGATTAATATGTATAAGGTTGAATAATGTCTCTTGTATAAAAAAAAGATATTGAAGCTAATAATACATAAAACAAGCCATTGGTAGATATCATCTTAAAATAATTGAAAATCGAATGAGAAATTGATTTCGTTGACGAATTTAGTACGATATTTTACTGAACTACTGCCACTATTCAAGACAGATATCATGTTATTATTATTATTATTATTATTATTATTATTATTATTATTATTATTATTATTATTATTATTATTATTATTATTATTTAAGCAAGTACTGTTCATAGGCCAAAACAAACTTCTATTAACTCATACAATTAAATCTCTTTTTACCCCCATCTGAAATAAATTTTAATTATTTCAACAATTTACATGATAATATCGTTGGAAATAAAATAAATTTCAATTTATGTCGATAACTATAGCGCCCAACTAATTGTATTAAATCATAAATGTTTACTAATAGACATTTGGGTATCGGAATACAATTTTCCATGATTAGCACTTTCAGATAGAAAAAAAAAGTTTTTCAACTTAAAGTTTAGCCCTCAGTAATTCACAAAGATTAAAGTAATATTAACAATGGGAATCTTTAATATTCTAATATTAAAATGTTTTGATTATTAAAAACAACAACACGAACAGAAATACTGCGAGTACAACTGATTAGTATAACTTGTGCATCTCTCATATTATTTATTATTATCTTGTGGTTGAATAAACAAAATCTCCATCTTTAAATCATGTTGTAATTAGTTATTGAAAATGTTTTCTGTAATATACATACATGCGTGACTCATTGCCAAGATTTAAAATTTCTAGAAGCAAAAAGGAAACCTCAAGTATGTGTTTAATGTAGATGAATTATGACTAGTAGTGTAATCCCGAACATTTGTTTCTTTCTAATTTGGATTTGTTAGCTGAATATATCTGTGACATTACATTGTTGATGTTTACTTTTGGACTCGAGCGCAGTACATTTTGCTTCATACGCTCCACATACTATCCAATGAGTTAATGAATCCATATAGTCACTAAATTGTTCACTGGGTAGAATAGTTTGATCGTTATAATTAAGGGTTGAATTATTCCCTTGTTGATATTCTTGTCAAAATTCTGAACTATTTTTGTTGACATATGTGTAGCTTGCGTGGATTGACTCAGTCAATCAATGAGTAACAACGTAGAACTTCGTACGTTCATACATCAGTTCAAGTTGCCATTACCACATTAGCACAGAGATGCATTTGTCTATTCAAATCCCATAGTTGTACAGATAGTAAGTGTATAATCAATAATCGGGTTTAAACATGTTATTCAAATGGGATAATCCAATGAAATAAATTTGGATTGACTTGACATAATCATTATTTTACAAATTTGTAGATTAAATGAAATGTTGTTACAAGTGTAATATATACAGGAAAGTCTTTTTTTTGTGTGTGTCCTATAATAAACATTACAAATGAAAGTTCAGTTCATTCATTTGTCTGTAACCAGTGATCATAAAAACTATATAACAGAATAAGAAAGAACAAGTCACGTGTATTTTTTTTTAAAAAAGAATATGAATTATTTTATCATACAATAGAAAATAATCAAACTATTTGTAATCATGCAAATGAAAAAACACACAACAACAACTATGAAAACATCAGTTTTCTTTACAAGAATATATGTGTATATGTTTGTATATATATATATATATATATATATATGATATCAAAATCCTATGTAAATTAATGTGTACTGTTGTGTTAGTGATAAAAAGTCACGAATAAGTTGAGTTTAAGTTACCTAGGTAACTAAGAAGAAGAAAAAAAAATATTTACTTGTAAGATAATGAGGAATGCAGGAGAGAAATAAATTGATATAAACCCTATGTTATTATGTCATACATGAGTGGTAGCAGGTGAATGAAAAACACTAAAGGAATTTAGATTTAACTTTCATGATGAATGGCATTTTAAGAATCAATAATTAAAAAAGTGTTATTAATGTAACTGTTGATTAGAAGATGAATAGCTTATTATGATGACATAATCTTTAAATGCTGTGGTTTTAATTAGATTAAAGTAGATTAGCGTTTAGAATTCTTGGAATTAAATTTCATCAATGTATCAATATAAATCATTGGTTGTTGCGTACTAGATAATATGAAGTTAATTGATATATAAATCTGATTTATTAAGGTAGCAAATTTTAATCTCACTTTACGTGCCTCCGTTTGGGCTCCCAGTTAATGTAATTGCTCTTAAAAAAGTGTTGCTGAAGCCTGAGTATGGAAATCTGTACTTGGTTAATCAGCTACATTATATGTTAATTACTTATGCCTGTTACCCCTTATGGAGGAGCACAGGCCGTCCACCAGCATTCTCAATCCAACTCTGTCCTGGGCAATCCTTTCCAGTTACTAGTCATCCTCTTCATCCCTGTTTTCGATTCCCGACGTAGTGTGTTCTTTGGCCATCCTCTTATTCATTTACCTTCAAGATCCAAAGTTAGCGGTTGCCTCATGATGCAGTTTGATAATCTCCACAATGTATTTCCTATCCACTTCCATCTTATTTTCCTAATCTCCACCTCATACGGAAGCTGTTTTGTCCTATCCCACAGTATGTTGTTGCAGGTAGTATCTGGTCAACGGATAGTGGGTGTCTTGCGTAGACAACTGTTTATAGTTACTTAAACCTTTTTGGTTATGGCTGTAGTAGTTCTACAATTTTCAACTCCATACAGTAGAACTTTCTTGACATTCGTACTGATAGTGGTTGGCAGTTGTTTCAAGTACCTTATGTTCTTCAACTGTGAAAATGCTGTCCTTGGTTTGCCGATCCTCGCCTTTATGCTTGCATCATCGATGATGCTGCCCAGACACGTTAAAATTTCCACATCTTCCAGAGCTTCTCTATCAAGTGTGATTGTGTTGATCTCCTGTTGTTTTTTTCCCTTTTTGAATGTTGAGACTTACTGCTGCCTAGGCTTCTGCCACACGGGCTGTCTTGGTCCGCATTTTTTGATGTGTGTAAGATAGAAGGGGTAAGTCATCTGGAAACCCCAGATCGTCTAGTTTCATCTAACCTGTCCATTGCATTCCGTGCTTTCTCCGAGATGTGGAGGTCTTCATCCGGTTAACTACCGGAAGAAAGAGAAATGGGGAAAGTAAGCATCCTCATCTGACTCGGGTCCTCACTTGTAATACACTTGTCAGCTGTCTTCCATGCAACAGTTCGCAGTGTAGTATGTCGTATGAATTCTGTATGATGTTGACAATTTTCTCATACACACCATAGTGTCAAAAATGATTTCATAAGAGTCACCTATCCATACTGTCGAATTCTTTCACATTACCAAGGAAGTCGATGTGTAGTGAGGAGTACCATTCAGTTGATTGTTTAACGATGATCCATAGTGTCGCGATTTGGTCTGTGCGCGACAGATCCTTAAGAGATCCAGCATCTTGATGTCGATATTAAGCGTCTACCGAATCTTTCATCCGGTTCAGCAACACTGTCGAAAGCTTACCTGGTAATGACAGAGGTGTGATGCCTCTCTAGTTGTTCACAAACTTACTCAGATCTCCTTTTTTGGTGTCATGATGGAGTATCCTTTTTTCCAGTTTGTCAACATTCGTTCTTCCTCCCAAATCTTCCTAAATAGGACTTGTAGCGTGTTTGTAGTTACGTCTTTGTTTGACTTCAATCCTTCAGCTGGCATATTATCAGGTTCTGCTGCTTTCCTGCTCTTCATTTGTCTGATGGCCATCCTGATTTCTTTCGTCTTTGGTGGAGTGACATCTACAGAAATGCCTGTTTGTGTGGCATTGAAGTTCGGTGAATTCAATGGTCTATTCAACAGATTCTCGAAGTGTTTCACTCATCTGTCCCCCTATCATTGACTTTCAGTGATTGTCTTGCATTCTCTATCCTTGACTGGTCTCTGTGATTTACTATATTTCCCTACCAGTTTCTTCATTGTATCATATGGTTATCTCGCGTTTCGTCCTCTTGCAGCTCTCTCCACTGCCGTTGCTAGTTTTTCCACGTATTTCTGGTTGTTGGCTGTAATGCCCTCCTTCACTCGCGTGCTTCCCTTTGTGTATTAAACTTGAGCCTTGACTTTCTCTGTTCTTGTTTAGCTGTCATTAATTGCTGTCTTATTCTTCATTCTTTCTTGAGTCTATCAAATTTTCCGCATGGTTTTCGAGTTCGTCTTTTCTACATTACTGAAGCCATTGGAATCCATGTTCACAAACCAAACCTTTGCATCCAAAAGAAATTTGTACAACCACTGTCGCCACCTTGACATATCAAACATGCTAGCATTGTTGCTGTTAATGATCAGAAGCCTCCGTATTTTCTCAGAGTCTTCACCAAACAAAACTAAGTCATTTAAGTATCCTAACTCAAGAAGTGAATTTCCTATTAGAATACTAACCCTTGAAAAGTCAGACGATCAAAATATTTTCTCTAACAGTATTTAAGTGTCTTTGCTCACATATTCATCTAAATACTACTCTATGTAAGACTGAAGCCTGATAAAAATCTAACTGGACACAAAGTTATTCGCTTACATATTTTGTTCTAATTTTGAAATTAATTTCATTGTTAATTAAGTTATTACTGTTTTTTCTCTTATTAGGAATTTATATGCATTGCAATATGTTCAGGTTTTCATTTAATCGCTATGATTGTATGCGCATGTACAGTATCAGGTTATGGGACAGCAATTGCTGCAGCTGTAAGTTCTATATTTACTTACATCTTTATTGTATGCACATTGTTGTTGGTTATTTTGTCTTCTTGTTATAAATCTATTCTGTACTTATTTAAAACCGTTAAAATTCACAAAATTGTATTGTAGAAATAGTCCGATAAATATTAATTTAATGATTGTCATGATAAAAATATGGAATATGGAGTAATATCAGATGACTTGTCCTCTTACTGTAAAGACCCAACCATCGATTACGGAAATCTATAAAGCTAGATAATTTAAAGAATTTTTAGAGGAAATCTTTTTTAACCTCTCCTTCGGTTGTTTGGAGGTATTATCGCCGCATATACTAGTTGTCTAAGCGAAACACTAATGCTTTCACACCGCTGTAGAGTTGGGAGTAAAATCTCACTCACGATCTATGAAATTACTAACGTTGGTTTTGTCTTCTTTTTTTCAATGGACCTCTATACTATAGTAGAAAGTCCAGAAACAAGTGTTTTAGATGATATAACTTAAGTAATTCATTAGGGTGTGCACGTGTTGTCATCAACAAGGAGGCGGCTACGATTGAGAAAAACTAAACTATTGTTGTAGTCATTCACCTCAAAACCTGAAAATTTTATTTCGATCATAGTTTAATCATCATTAACAGTGCTGAAACGAAGAAAAAAACAGTTGTTCAATAATCCCCGATTATAAAATATTCTGTAATTTATATCATTATGCAATGAAAAGTATACCTAAACAACAAAATACGAACATTAGGCTGTGAACCAATCATATGTCAATTAGAAAACAAAATTAATATACTTTGGGTAGATAGGTGACTTTAGATTTATTTTTCAAAACTATTATTGAAAATGAAAATGCAAATTATGTTTATAAAAGCTTAAACGATTAAAAGTAAATAACTCTAAAGTTTCATTTGGTGATATTTTTATTCGAGTGTCTTCAGGTAAATAGTAGAAAATAAAAGCACTCGGCACCCAGGTCACATCATACTGTTCCTTCAGTACTAGATAAATGCTCTCGCCTAAGTATGATCAGAGTCCGAGTGTATGCTTCTAAAATGGATAATATCGTCTATCAAACATCTTTAACAATATTTGACAAAGATACGGTATATTTAAATTCATCATTTTGTTGTTTTTATAGTAGCTCGATTACAAATTGCATCTACACATTCATGAAGTTTGTAGTAGCCGGAAATCAGTTATTCTAGAACATGTTTTTTAAAGAGATAGTCAACATAACCCGTCCATGAAATAACTTAATAAATTGTATAGTTCTTCATCAGAATTCCAATAGGATCTAACCTATACTTTCAAAAAAAACAATACACTTTAAATAGTTCCTAGTAGAAATCTACTAGAATCAAGTATTTCAAGAAATAAAGTTTTTGATTAGTAAATTTTTTTTATTCTAAAGTGAATATGATAATGCTTCGATAGATAGATCAATTCACTATGGTGACATAGGTTTATCTATTACCAAGAATATCCATCAATTTTTTTGTGAAATCTTATGAATTCATCAATTTCGTATTTCATGTATCATATAAATAAAGTGATCAGTTAGTTAAGTTATGTAATGTTCAACATTACAATTAGAAAAACGTATTATCTATGCAGTGTAAATCATTCGTCTGTTGTACAAAGTCTTTAAAGCAAGATTTTAAAAGCAAGTTAATCATGGATTATTCATGAATTAATTCGCTGAACAGAATTATAAAAAAATAAGGCATGAATAAATGAAAACGGATCAGAACAGAAAATTAATCCTTTACCAATATTATTTACACAAATTAAAGTTATTCAAATTATTGCATATAATAGTACGGGATAATAAAATAAATGAATATGGATTCATTTAACCAAGTATTCAGAAAATTATCAAATATACTCATAGATAATACCTATAAATTACATGATAATCTCAAAGATAATAAGAAATAAACATTCAGAAATAAAACGGAAAATATAATTCTCTATATATGACAAATTTACAAATAGATGACCAATAATGGAACAACTGTAACCGATGATTTATAAAATTAATAGGCATATTGAAACTATGCTAAACTGACAGATTGAACAGATGCGTTTTTTCAGATACACAGATCACGTTTGAATTGATGAATCATGATCGTGTCAGACGTTCATAAATCTCTAATCCAAATATTCTTTGACTCCGTTGTTTAGAGTTTGCCAACATTTGTGAATGTTGATTCATGAAGTGGCACATGATTACAGTTGATCACACATTCACAAATCGAAATGTTGATAGATTTGAATCACGTTTGAAACTGTCAAACAGAGTGCTGGTGGTGAAGATGATGGTGTTTGGATATGCGTTTCAACAAGCAAACTATTGCAAAAAACAATACAACCTGTTCCAGATGATCAGACAAACTGGTAGTTGTGCACTGAGATGGATGAATTGGAGATTTATTATACACCTACTTCCTACAATGAAACACTTACGTACAGGAGGAATTGATAAATAACTATACTGAAATAGAGGTCTTTTTCAGAGAACTCAGTAGTCTGTTATTCCATAACTCTTCTCCTTAGATATTTTTTCCAAGTTGGATGTTCACAAACAGACTTTTGTCGAGAAGTGTATGCTTGCTCCCAGATTGAAAATTCACCACCGCTCACCTACCATCAATGAATAAGTTGTAGGGTGAGTATACTTGAAATTGACTAAAGTGTTGATGAAATGCGGTACAAATTGAAACAGACAGACTCACCGGTCAGTTGTGCTGTGAAATCAACCATATAAGCTCTACAGATTTCAAAGTGATGGAAGGAATACTGCATCGCATATTGATATTTTACATTGTGAAGACGACATCGAATCAAGTGTATATTGACAGTTTAAAAGTAATCTGGTCGATCTTATCACTAGATACAGAGAAACGGGTTAGAAGGTAGTTCATACCACTTATGACTTGTGACTGTGTCAGTATGAATTATTCCAGAACATCAGATAAACTGGTAACTTGATTCTAGAGTGTCCGATTTCCACAAATCTAACTGCTACCTGACAAGTAAATAGATTCATCATTTATTGATATACAACGTTGTAGTCTGCACGCATAGGTATTCACTTGTGTTGGTTTAGTCAAGTGTACAGATTTGAGTTGACATGAATGTTTACATTTTAAACAAATAGTTGATCAGATCAAATTAGCATAAACACTCTAACTGTCCAACTAATTACTTTCAAGTTGTAACGATTTTCCATTTGTAAGTGATTTCATTCATATTAGATTTATGGTTTGTCAGTATCTAAGATTTAACGGAATTGTGTGTTGTGTACTTTATTACTAAGCCAACTGAGTACAAATAAATCACAGTACTACGAATACATAAACTGTGCTGAGCCCTAAGACGTTTTTTGCAACAGTTGGACGCCTACATAACTGTACATTGAAAATTATAATCTTCTCTTTACACTCGTTAGTTGGCATTAATCCGTAACCTTATATAATCCAATCTCATATTTAACATGTGTCAACAGACTTGGATTAGCACTGAAGTATTATAAAGTATTAAAGAAGGATTAATTAACAACTCAAACATTCACGATATACCATTTTTGAAATAATCCGAAATCGTTAGTAATGTGGTGAAACATAAAATCACTTATATCAATCAGTGATTTAAATGAAAAATGCTTTTGAAGATTAAAATCAGTCAGTTATTTTGTGATTTAATATGTTAAAAAGTTTTAGGAAAGAAATGTTACATTAGTATTACAGGTATATCTTGTTGACGAATCTAAACCAGCACGATAACTATATAAAGTAGGGTTTCCTACCGACCACTATCAATCACATTACACTTCATTTAGATAAGCAAATAAGTGTAAAGCAATTACTGGTCCTGAGTGCTTTTTAATTGTACAACTGGATACTTATTAACAATATCATTTTGATAAGGGTCTATCAGCAGTAGGTCTCAATATACAGAAAGGGAAAAGCAAGATTCTCTGATACAACACAGCATGCACCAATGGAGTCACCATTGATCGAGAAGATTTGGAAGATATAAAAATCAATGCATATCTGAGCAGCATCATTGATGAACATGGTGAATCTGATGCAGATATGAAGGCGCAGATCAGCAAGCAAGAGCAGCTTATTTACAACTGAAGAACATCTGGAACTCGAAAAAACTGTCAACCAACACCAAGGTCAGAATTTTCAATACAAATATCAAGACAGTTCTTAAGTTATTGATGATTGGTCATAAGTAATATGAAAATACAAATATTGACCATCATATTATATTTTAATGACTTCATTCATAAATTCATCTTATAAAATATAAAATAATCTATCTCTATTAACAATATATCACAAGTGTTTATAAATGAATTTAAAGAAATTGTCATTTGAGTCAAATCGATTATTTGCATAACCTTATTTCATATAAAATTCAACTTGTCAACAATCATGACAAGTCTAAATGATTTCTCTTTACTTTTATCATATTGTCTTTCTTTTAACGACAACAACAACACCAACAACAATCAACATTTTTATATACACAATTATATAACTGAATCAAATTTCTCATTTTTTATATTATTATTCTGACTTGGTCTTGTGAATAATGTTTTTCGTTTGAATCACTAATTGATCTAAGTGTTTCACCACATTACTAACGGTTTCGGGTTATTTTAAAAAAAATGGTATATCGTGAATGTTTGAGTTTAGTTAATTCAAGTCGGTTGACAATATATATTAAATATATACAGTTATGTATGCGTCCAAGTGCTGATTAATTCGATACTTGAACAAAACTAGACGTTTAGTGATTTCTAGTGGTTAGTGATCATCCAATTGGAGTCAGTTAGTGATGTAAACTTGAAAATTAAATAATATTCACAAATCACTCAACTAATATCTAGATACATGTTTGTTGTTAAGTAGAATGTCAAGTAAATTTTTCCAAAACAGATATTTGAAGTGTAAATAAGACAATCTTATTTGAAACAATCACGATTTTATCATAATAGAGTACATATTATAAATTTGAATTTAAAAGAAATAGAGAAATCTATTTCCTCACTAATATTTTTTATGTCAACTTGAATATTATAATCTTTGATAATGAAAGTAAGCTATTTAGAGAATTTGAATGTGGCCATTACTATGATCGCGAAGCGAGAGTTACTCACAATACATCCTTTCACTGAAACAATTTGGCGTTTGGGAAATAAGTGAAATGAATATATCTGTAAGAATGTTTAATATTGTTGATGTTGAATTCTCTAAGCTGGATGACTTGATAGAGGAGCTTTCATCATCCGTTTGAACAACATTATAAGCAACTATTTCGTGTATAGCTGCCTTCTTACGCCGTGAGTGTTGGTTACGAAACTGAGAGGACGAAAATCGAATTTTCGGAGCCTTAACCGGGTTGATGGATCTGGAAGATTCACTTAGGAGAGTTGAAGAACTCCGATTGCAAACCAATGATGCACATGAACTCCAGGATCCTGCGGGAACAAACGACGCATGAACCTATTGTTGGCCACTAGCTACCGTGGAACCGCATCTTGTAACGTTGCTTCACTACCCTGTGGGTTAGACCTTTAGGTAGTCGCCCTCAAGGAAAACCATGTGCTTCGTTTCGGGCACCCAGATAATATTCTAGACCTTGCACAAATCAAATAATTAGTGTGGCGTATATATATGGCACTTCTTTAAGGCAATGTTCATATGTTTAAATAATAAACAATAATAATATGTATAAGTGAGATTTTTAATCATTTCATATATGTCATATCAATTTATTCGAACAGCGTTGTCTTTAAACGTTTGTTTTTGTCGATTTAATCGTTTTCATTTCTTAATGTATTCAACTTCATGAACTTGTTCTGTTGACCTCTGACTATGTTCATTATTGATTTCAGAAGTTGGACATCTGAGTCACTGAAATCAGTGATATAATATAGTGCCATTTCGCTGATAGTTTGTATTCATGTATGAAAGCACGAAATAGGAACCAGCTTTAAGTTTATTTTGCAGATTAAAATGTTGTCCAAAAAGACAGTTAAAGCTACGCAATTAAACCATTTCTAAATCAGGACTTAACAGCAATATCAAAAACATCCACTTGAGCTGTTAATATCTTCCATAGTCTCATTCTATGGGGTTTTCAAAAGGTTAGTTATTTCTACTTATTCGTTTAAGTTTGGACGTACAGTATGAAAAAGACTGTGGTGATCAACACCGAAAAACTCTACTAATCTATGTTCCACTAGACCTATCTTTAAACAGGTTTGACTATAGTGAATAAATTAATTACAATAATGAATTGCAAATACATTTAGAATCACTTCATTTTGGAAAGACGTTTCCTCTTAGCTTGAGGTATTTTCGGTAGTATCCATTTCTGACCTGATCTAAGAAACACGGACAGCGTGTACTCTTATAAAATTTAAAGCTAAATACATAATTCATTTTTTAGATGTAACCCTAATTGTATAAAAATTCCTACTTGACAAATTCATATTATAGATTGCATAATATTAATAATGGTAATTTCATGATTAAAGTTTTTCCCAATCGGGACAGTAATGAAAGCTAACAAGATGTCTCACACTATTTATAAGTCGTAAATTTATGGTCTTTTCTTCCTTTTATGACTTTCCGGCCAAAAGAAAGCAAGTAATGAAAAATATTGCAAAAACTATATAAAGAAAATAGAAACAAAATATTACTACTAGTCAATAAAAAGTTTATTTTCTGTGTAAAAGAGTCGACTGAACCTTACTTACTTACTTACGCATAGGCCGCAGACCAACACTCTCCATCCCACTCTGTTCTGGGCCTTCCATCTAGTTCTAACCAATTTTTGTTCATTTTTATCATGTCTTTCTTCATTTCTCGGTGTAATGTGTTCTTTGGTCTTACTCTTCTCCTTTGATCTTCAGGATTCCATGTGAGGGCTTGCCTAGTGACGCAGTTAGGTGTTTTTCTCAATGTGTGTAGTATCCACATCCACCGGTTCTTCCTGAATTTCTCCACATATTAGATCTGGTTTGTCCTCTCCCATAGTAGGTTGTTTCTTATAGTATCTAGCCAAAAGAACTGAAATATTTTTCGAAGACAACTGTTAATAAACACTAGTATCGTCTGGATCATGGATTTTGTAGTTCCCCAGGTTTCCACCCCATACAGTAGAACGGTCTTTACATTTGTATTGAAAATCCTGACCACAGAACGAGATGATGATACTGAGATTTTTAGGGTACCATGGATGTCTTATAATAGGGCTTACATTTATAACGACTACTTGATCACAGAGTAGTGATCAATGTTACCTTCATCAAGTCCTTTTTTATTGCTTATTGAGTTTTATCAATTGATGAAAAGTATAGATATGAACCAAAGTAATTGTAGTTAGTAATTATATTATGATATTTCTTTATATATTCACAGATACGTCTTTTGATATAATCCCGACATTTCTTTCCGAAAACTTTTTAACATAATAAATCAGAAAATAACTGACTGTTTTTATTCTTCAAAAGGGTTTCCATTTAAATCACTGATTGATATAAGTGATTTTATGTTTCACCACATTACTAACGATTTCGGATTATTTCAAAAATGGTATATCGTGAATGTTTGAGTTGTTAATTAATCCTTCTTTAATACTTTATAATACTTCAGTGCTAATCCAAGTCTGTTGACACATGTTAAATATGAGATTGGATTATATAAGGTTACGGATTAATGCCAACTAACGAGTGTAAAGAGAAGATTATAATTTTCAATGTACAGTTATGTAGGCGTTCAACTGTTGCATACAAAGTCTTAAGGCTCAACACAGTTTATGTATTCGTAGTACTGTGATTTAATTGTACTCAGTTAGCTTAGTAATAAAGTACACAACACACAATTCCGTTAAATTTTAGATACTCACAAACCATAAATCTAATATGAATGAAGTCACTTACACATGGAAAATCGTTACAACTTGATGGTAATTAATTGGACAGTTAGAGTGTATATGCTAATTTGATCTGATCAACTATTTGTTTAAAATGTAAAGATTCATGTCAACTCAAATCTGTACACTTGACTAAACCAACACAAGTGAATACCTATGCGTGCAGACTACAACGTTGTATATCAATAAATGATGAATCTATTTACTTGTCAGGTAGCAGTTAGATTTGTGGAAATCGGACACTCTAGAATCAAGTTACCAGTTTATCTGATGTTCTGGAATAATTCATACTGACACAGTCAAAGAACATTTGAGTTAGAGATTTATGAACGACTGACACAGTCACAAGTCATTAGTGGTATGAAATACCTTCTAACCGGTTTATCTGTATTTAGTGATAAGATCGACCAGATTAGTTGTAAACTGTCAATATACACTTGATTCGATGTTGTCTTCACAATGTAATATATCAATATACGATGCAGTATTCCTTCCATCACTTTGAAATCTGTGGAGCTTATATGGTTGATTTCACAGCACAACTGAACGGTGAGTCTGTCTGTTTCAATTTGTACCGCATTTCATCAACACTAGTCAATTTCAAGTATACTCACCCAACAACAAATTCATTGATGGTAGATGAGCGAGAGCCGAATTGTCAATCTGGGAGCAAGTACACGCTTTTCGACAAAAGTCTGTTCGTGAACATTCAACTTGGAAAGGATATGGAAGGAGAGTTATGGAATAACAGACTACTGAGTTCTCTGAGGAAGACCTCTATTTCAGTAGAGTTAGTTATCATTTCCTCCTGTACGTAAGTATTTCATTGTAGGAAGTAGGTGTATAATAAATCTCCAATTCATGCATCTCATTGCACAACTACCAGTTTGTCTGATCATCTGGAACAGGTTGTATTGTTTTTATCGCAATAGTTTGCTTGTTGAAACGCATATCCAAACACCACCACCACCACCACTCTGTTTGACAGTTTCAAACGTGATTCAAATCTATCAACATTTCGATTTGTGATTGTGTGATCAACTGTAATCATGTGTGCCACCTCATGAATCAACATTCACGAATGTTGGCAAACTCTAAACAACGGAGTCAAAGAATATTTGGATTAGAGATTTATGAACGTCTGACACGATCAAGATTCATCAATTCAAACGTGATCTGTGTATCTGAAAAAACACATCTGTTCAATCTGTCAGTTTAGCATAGTTTCAATATGCCTATTAATTTTATAAATCATCGGTTCCAGTTGTTCCATTATTCGTCATCTATTTGTAAATTTGTCATTTATAGAGAATTATATTTTCTATATTGTTTCTTAATGATTATTTTTCATCATCTTTGAGGTTATCATATACCTTTTATATTTTTTCATTGTTTTGTAAAAGACAGTTTTTCTATTAGTCTGTGATGCTTTAAGTTATCATTTACGTTGTGTGACATTTCGAAATCATTTTACGTGTATATGCATTCTCCATGACTTCGTTATTTGTCGGTTTGTTTAATTTTCGGGGGTTAAATATTCAGCTCTACGTTAGTGAACATTTTTTGCGCTTTATTCATTCAATGTAGCATATGTTTTTCAAAGTGAATGTG